CTTCAAAGTCTGGTTTCATCATTGTAATGTCATAAATTTGTATGATATGCATTTGATCCCTAACAGTTTGGTTGACCACTGTCCACTTGACTATGACCTTTAAATTCTTCAGCAATGTCCCTCCCGGAATATTAGATTTGTATAAATAACCCGGTGCCTGCCGTGGATCATTGGCCAATCCCGAAGTCGGTATCACAATAGGGGACTCGAGCCTTTGGCTTACAAAAAATTACCCTAAAAAAAAATTATTTTGACTCCTTTTGCTAAAAATAGAAAACAATAAAAACTTGTCTTTTTATTCTACTATCAATGGTATTGTTTGATTAGTAATCCCAACACCTTAGAAACTAGGATACACCTCTGTGGTATTATTTTGGTGTTGATCTCTTTAATCTGTTAAACAAATCCTAGCTGCACGCGACGTCAGCAAGATTTTTCAGTCTAGGTCAATGTGACTTTCCCTGTGGGTAACTCTGGATATAGATTAACCATGATAGTACCACATTTATGCCTACTCCACGTTCGTACTACGTGTAAGCCAACTCCATGTTAATACCACGTGTATGCATACTCAATGTTAATACAACGTTTATAAGATAAGATAAAGAATTCTTTATTTCAGACTGCATAGTCCATACATCTAAATTAAAATAATAATATAGAGTAAAACATTGTAAACATAAAAGAACATATATATATATATATATATATATATATATATATATATATATATACATATATATATATATATATATATATATATATATATATATATATATATATATATATATATATATATATATATATATATATATATATATATATACATACATACAAATACATATATATATATATATATATATATATATATATATATATATATATATATATATATATATATATATATATATATATATATATATATATACATACATACAAATGCATATATATATATATATATATATATATATATATATATATATATATATATATATATATATACATACATACATATACATATACATATAAATACACAAACATATACACATACACATACACATATACATACATATATATACACATACATACACACGTACACATACATATATATATATAGACATATACACACATACACATACACACACACACACACACACATATATATATATATATATATATATATATATATATATATATATATATATATATATACACACACACATACACATACACACATACATATACACTAAAACATATATACATATCATATGTACAAGTATTCAGATACATTTACAACAATTATTTGCGCCATGCATTGTTAAAAAATGAAATTTAAGTGACACATTTAAATAGTAATTGGTTCCATCTACTAACAATGTGAGAATTTAAATTAATGTCATATTTCCAAATTTGCCCGATTTGTTTTTTAAAAAAAAATCTACAGCTTTTCTGCCAATTTTCCTGTTGAAAGACGTAATCTATGTCCGTCCCTTAGAGAAGCAATTCGAGAAGTTCTAAACCCCTTTGCGTCCCAATAAGCTACATGAATCATTGACATATCGATCTATAAACAAGCGATTTACAAACATAATAAACCGGGTAATTAATATTTATAACTATAATAACACTAATAATGAGGATAATAAACACGAAACAGGTTCCGTTCGATACGTACAAGAACATTTTCAGGCGGTCACTGCATCAAGCTGTTGCATTTCTGTATATTTCTCAATGGTATTATAGTGGAGTGAAAGCCATTAGTGCAAGCGACTTCATTTAGAATACTTGCCGCAAGCGACTTCATTTTAAGACGTCTATGTCACGCTGACCTTGTCACCTGAGCGACCTTGACACGAAGGGTACAGTACAGTTTATGCATATTATGCTGCTATTTGTGTTTTGCGTTTAATCAGAACTTAACATTGGAAATGTATTTTAGAATTCAAATTTCTAAAAGGAATACAGTTAGCTTGAATATTAAATTTTATAGGGTACAGTCAATACTTAACAAAATTAACAATTTAATCTGTTGTTTTTGTAGATATAAAGATATACGATAACATTGGCAAAACATAAATTAATCATACATACATACATACATACATACATACATACATACATACATACATACATACATACATACATACATACATACATACATACATACATACATACATACATACATACATACATACATACATTAACAGACGATCAAAATGCAAATTCATATAAGTTACAGACTCCACCTATATTGTATTGCTTTATTTCTTCGGTCGTTTTTCCACTGCATATGTCTTTTTTTTTCTTGCAGAGCTTTAACATAAAGCAAAGGATGAATGCATTGCTTGTCCGTACATCTGCAATATATTTTTTATTGTTTCCTTTATCATATATATGTTTATTATTCTCGTATATTGGTAAGGGATAGGGTTAGGGTTAGGGTTAGGGTTAGGGTTAGAGTTCCTAAATTTCACAATTATTTTATAATCTATACAAATGACAATCCTTTGAAATTACTAATGATCAAGAATGAAAATAATAAAATGACACTTGGAAAATTTTTATTTGAATGATGAAGTCACCAATACCTAATCTGATTTTCATTCATTCTTCCTTCTGTCCATCTATGCATCCGTAAATCATATAATTGTCTTTGGATTTTAGAAAGATATGGAAGTTACTGGACCATAAGTAATTACATGTTCAAAGTTTTTAGTTTCCTCTATTATTTTGTATTTCAATCAGCGTGGGGTGAGCGGAGACTTTCCTCTACTAATATATATATATATATATATATATATATATATATATATATATATATATATATATATATATATATATATATATATAGTGATATATATATATATATATATATATATATAAATACATATATATATAAAGATATAGATATATAGATACATATATAAATATATAAATACATAGATATATATATATATATATATATATATATATATATATATATATATATATTAAACAGCTCATATAGCTGGTTAACGTGCCTGGCTGACTCACGACCATAAAGGGTGCAGGTTCGAATCCTACCATAGGACCAACCTGTATCAGCTACATTGTGTCCTTGGGCAAGACGTTCTAGTCCTTTGGTGCTGATGTGTTGATGTGAAATAAAAAAAAATCAATCCAAGACCAATCAGTATGTATTTAAAGAATACGATTATTGGCGTAGCAGCAGCAGCAGTAGTAGTAGTAGTAGTAGTAGTAGTAGTGTTTATACTTGATGTTATTATTACAGCAATTTTGACTGCTAATGTTATCCAGTGCATTTCACATTTTCCACATAGTTTGTTTAGAAATAGTTTAGCGTTCCCACGACAATATTATACATGTAGTTTGAAAGGTCACGGGAAGTGGGTGACCTGTCTCCTACTCGGGTAGGGAAATCTTTAAGGTATTGTCCCCTAACCGGAGAACCCTAGTCAGCCGTATTGGCCCATGTACATCCGCCCAAGGTAGCAATTTCCCACCCATAAATTCCGTTGTCTATCAAGCTCATATTATCTGCCAGCCTTAATTAAAGTCAGGTTGGAACCCAAGTAAGGTCACTGATAACGGATATGAAAGCGCGGAGACCTATCCAACTTACCACTTATGGTCAGAAAAGTGTGGTGTTAGAATAGAATCAATAGAGTGACTGATAAGATCTTAAGAACTTCTACAAAATCTCACTAATAATCCCACATCAGCCATTTCTGCCTAAACTAGTTGCGTTCCGATGTGTAGGCCATAAACTGGGTCGATAACTTTGCTAATTATGCAAATTAGTCTTCAATATTTTAAGTAGATTGGATTTAGATTTTGAATTTTGTAACGTGGCATTAGCAATATTTCAGTCCTATCCCTACGATGTCTGCAGGCAGTTTATAGTGATGTCTAGCATCAGTCCTATCCCTACGATGTCTGCAGGCAGTTTATAGTGATGTCTAGCATCAGTCCTATCCCTACGATGTCTGCAGGCAGTTTATAGTGATGTCTAGCATCAGTCCTATCCCTACGATGTCTGCAGGCAGTTTATAGTGAAGTCTAGCATCAGTCCTATCCCTACGATGTCTGCAGGCAGTTTATAGTGATGTCTAGCATCAGACCTATCCCTACGATGTCTGCAGGCAGTTTATAGTGATGTCTAGCATCAGTCAAAATCCCTACGATGTCTGCAGGCAGTTTATAGTGATGTCTAGCATCAGTCCTATCCCTACGATGTCTGCAGGCAGTTTATAGTGATGTCTAGCATCAGTCCCATCCCTACGATGTCTACAGGCAGTTTATAGTGATGTCTAGCATCAGTCCTATCCCTACGATGTCTGCAGGCAGTTTATAGTGAAGTCTAGCATCAGTCCTATCCCTACGATGTCTGCAGGCAGTTTATAGTGATGTCTAGCATCAGTCCTATCCCTACGATGTCTGCAGGCAGTTTATAGTGATGTCTAGCATCAGTCTTATTCCTACGATGTCTGCAGGCAATTTATAGTGATGTCTAGCATCAGTCCTATCCCTACGATGTCTGCAGGCAGTTTATGGTGATGTGTATCATCAGTCCTATCCCTACAATGTCTGCAGGCAGTTTATAGTGATGTCTAGCATCAGTCCTATCCCTACGATATCTGCAGGCAGTTTATAGTGAAGTCTAGCATCAGTCCTATCCCTACGATGTCTGCAGGCAGCTTATAGTGATGTCTAGCATCAGTCCTATCCCTACGATGTCTGCATGCAGCTTATAGTGATGTCTAGCATCAGTCCTATCCCTACGATGTCTGCAGGCAGTTTATAGTGATGTCTAGCATCAGTCCTATCCCTACGATGTCTGCAGGCAGTTTATAGTGATGTCTAGCATCAAGCTAAGGACATGTAGTATGACCCAGTCATATCACATTATCTTGATACGAGATCGCCATCCTAAACACTAACATCTTAATGCTGAGCGCCAAGCGAGGCAGCTGTTTGTACCACTTTTTAAGTCATTGGTATGATTTGGCCAGGATTCGAACCCGTTACCTACCGCATATGAGGCAGATGCTCTAACCACTAGGCCACTGAAGCGGTCAATAATCACTGTAAGATAAGTTAGGAAATAACCAACCCTGTCCTGTCGGCCTTGAAGGAACATCAACCCATGGAAAACTGCTAATAAGCATTCTCCAGTGCCCATACTGACCGAGTCTATATTCGGAACCACGCGGACGGAGGTGTTGCTGTGTGTGATATGGTCCATTTAAATAAAAGAATGAGAGAATGGGGTTAAGAAAGAAATTGCCTTTGTTTATATCGAGAAAAGACAATGGGAATTGACTTTTGTTTATAAAGAGAAAGTAGGAAAAGAAGAGAGAGTTACATTTCCATGGAGACCATTTCAATTAAATCAAAGCCGTATAAAATTGTGGTCTGGAATAATGGTTTTTATTGTTTATATTTCTCAGTAATTACTAGAGCACCACCTCAGTAAGATTCTTGTTTTCGTTTTAAAAATAGAAATAATATCATTTGGTATGGACAATGAACATCTTATTATGGGTGTATTTTTTATTCTTTGGGCATTTATTTCTCTCTCTCTCTCTCAAAGTTTATCTGTTCATCCATCCATCCATCCATCCATCCATCCATCCATCCATCCATCCATCCATCCATCCATCCATCCATCCATCCATCCATCCATCCATCTATCTATCTATCTATCTATCTATCTATCTATCTATCTATCTATCTATCTATCTATCTATCTATCTATCTATCTATCTATCTATCTATCTCCTTTTCCATGAACATAATATAAAGCATATATTTTTCTTCTTTATGAGAGCGTTTTTTTTATAGGATGACGTTATTATTTATCAAAGGGATTTTATCTCTTAAATAGAAGTCATTTTTCGCACGCATATCTCATATTAGAATATAACTCCGGACTTAAAATTATACGGAGGAGAGCGAAATATGCCAGAAAAAAAACTTCTACTAAAACATTCATATAGTAGGAACGTTGGTGATTACTGATATGTAGAGTTTCCACATAAAGTTTTAATGACCTGGAAACTTGAACTCTTGCTACTTTTATCATTTATTTGATATACCTATCACTAGCACTGTCAAGTGTCAGTCTTGTAGTGAATTGCTTTGAAGGAAATGGGACAGGAAAGACTATAGAATTTTATGTCAAAATTGGGGTAAGAAATGATCAGATAAAAGAGGGAGTAAAGGGTGAAACAAAGAAGCGCAAAGAAAATAAAATATACAACGCAAATGGGTAAAGAGTTAGAAAGGATGATAGAAGGAGTAACGAAGGCGAAATATACAGATAAGGTACTGACATAAAGTCACATGACCTAGACTTGCATATTTTGCTTGGGCTCTTTTTGAAAAATAAAATATACTGGTGTGATGGTGTTTGGCGTATTTCGCACGCATGCATTAATTATATTCATTAAATGGCTGTAAACCATGGGTATATGAGAATTTATATTCTGTCCAATTTTTATACATATAACAGTCTCTATAACAACAAGACTTTTTGTTCATTTCAGATGACTAGAACATATTCTCTAGAAATCAGACTAGTCGTTGCACGTGTTTATTGTTTCCGAGATTTCCTCATAACCTTATCTCCTTGGCAGCAAATCAACATCGTCTCTAATATGTTCTGCCAGCTGACCTTCTCACACTTTATTACACCATGGTACAACTCACCTTCTCACACTTTATTACACCATGGTACAACTCACCTTCTCATACTTTATTACACCATGGTTCAACTCACCTTCTCACAATTTATTACACCATGGTACAACTCACCTTCTCACACTTTATTACACCATGGTACAACTCACCTTCTCACACTTTATTACACCATGGTACAACTCACCTTCTCACACTTTATTACACCATGGTTCAACTCACCTCACACTTTTTACACCATGGTACAACTCACCTTCTCACACTTTATTACACCATGGTACAACTCACCTTCTCACACTTTATTACACCATGGTACAACTCACCTTCTCACACTGTATTACACCATGGTACAACTTACCTTCTCACACTTTATTACACCATGGTACAACTCACCTTCTCACACTGTATTACACCATGGTACAACTCACCTTCTCACACTGTATTACACCATGGTACAACTTACCTTCTCACACTTTATTACAGCATGGTACAACTCACCTTCTCACACTTTATTACACCATGATACAACTCACCTTCTCACACTTTATTACACCATGGTACAACTCACCTCACACTGTATTACACCATGGTACAACTCACCTTCTCACACTTTATTACACCATGGTACAACTCACCTTCTCACACTTTATTATACCATGGTACAGCTGACCTTCTCACACTTTATTACACCATGGTACAACTGACCTTCTCAGTTTGTTTTCATCTGGACACAGTTTACACATAAAATATTTAAAGTGAGGGCTTGATATCAATTCAGAATTTATTGTGCAAAGATATAATCGGATATTCTTTGTGTTTTGCCCAAAGACTTATTAGAACCATATATATTTCAGAGCCGAATTGAAGCATATTGCTTTTACATTTAAGGTGGCACTCACCAATTATTATGTACTTTTGAGAGAGCGATGTATGTAAGGTGAAGTTGTTTGCATTTTAAACATGCACGCTGGAGAGAATGTTAGCGTACCTCTATACTACTTTCATGCATTGTGGCTGAAATTTCTTTGGATATTGTACTTTTGGAAATTTTAAATGATCTTAGTTAGCACACTCCTAAATAAAATGACTGCTTCCGTGTGCTCCAAAAATCAACCTAAATTTGTCAAAAGTACACTATCCTTAACAGCTATTAAAATAGGGAAAATGAATTTTGCCAAACCAGAAAATACAGCTTCTAAAAGTGCAATGAATGAATTACCAAATATATAAAATGTAACAAAAAAAGTTATCGGCTCTATTTTTTTTTACAATATACCTCTGAAGTTCGGAAAGTGAAAATGAGCAAGTAGAGCTAGCACTTTTTGAAAGATGCACATCTGGAGGAAGGCCAAGCTGCTTATTCTATAACCCATAGTACACTAATCAACCATTCATCAATATAAAGGGAATGGAATATTCTTTGAATAATACCTAAGATGTACATTGTCTTTTTTAAATAACTAGTAAGGAAATTAGGTCAAATTCTTTTTCTTGAAAATTCTAACCCTATGTTAAATACGAAACAGTAGAGCGCCAACTAATGAACGTGTCTACACTTCTAAAGGGATACAATTATGAGCCGTCGGTCACTCTTGGAACTCCCCTACGCAACAAATTGTATCATTGGTTGTGCTTCTAAATATATTTTTTGGAAACGTTCACAATGAAAGATAGGACATAATCTCTCCCTCCCCGCTCTTCAAGTTTTTAGACCTTTTAAACGGTCACAAGTATACTTGTGTATTTTGAAACTGGGTAAGAGAGAACAAGAATAAATGTGACATTTCATTAAAATACTTCATTTATTATATGACTTCATACATTTGGCAATTAAGATGGCAGTTCTCCGACGAATAAAAAAAGTCCCAAAATTTGAGCGTATTTTCTTAAATACGGTATACGACCTACACACATACGGTATACGGTATACGACAAAATTCAAATAATGAAGACACCGCGGAAGCATTTTAGGTGTTTGGGACGTTGCTTACTAAAGTTGGGTAACAAAGCGCGTTCAATTAGTCCAAAGGATAATTAGGAATTTTAATCACCTTTATCTGTTAAGACTAAAGCACTAAACGTCTTTCATTTACTAAAGTCAGACGGAAAACTTCAAAGGTCTTAAACCGACAAAGATGTATAATTTGTGATGATTTAAGAAGTTCATACGTAGCTAAAAATACACAGAAAGAGTTGGTTATGACCTATCTTTCATTTTTGCATGCAGCGAGGTTGGATTTTAGTGTGTGTGTGTGTGTGTGTATGTGTGTGTGTGTGTGTGTGTGTGTGTGGATTTATACTCCGATGACACAACCAAAGTCTGCATAGAAGAAAGGATGTCAAAAAATAAAACGATAGGGTTATCTTAATTAATTGTAAATTTTTGCTTAACGTAAGAAAATAATTTACTCGGTTGAGACAGCTTGCTCCTTTAAAATGCAGCCTGAATAAAATGCGTTGAAAATTGCTTGGTTCTAATTACGTTGGATGAAATTAAGAATTATGGTCATATATTTTTCTCACAGATGTGTGTGTGTGTGTGTGTGTGTGTGTGTGTGTGTGTGTGTGTGTGTGTGTGTGTGTGTGAGTCAATGACTAAAATTGTATCAAGTCTATACTGAACTAAATTGTAAGGCATCAATTGCATAACAACTAAATTGTAAGGCATCAATTGCATAACAACTAAATTGTAAGGCATCAATTGCATAACAACTAAATTGTATGGCATCAATTGCATAACAACTAAATTGTATGGCATCAATTGCATAACAACTAAATTGTAAGGCATCAATAGTACAACGAATCAAACGTTAATGAATCAAGTTAATAAAAAAATTAATATATCAAATGTAGAAGGAATCAAAATATTGGATGTATCAATTGTATAACGAGCCAAAATTTTAATGTATCAAGTCCATCACAAATCAAAGTTTTAATGTATCAAGTCCATCACAAATCAAAATTTCAATGTATCAAGTTCATCACAAATCAAAGTTTTAATGTATTAAGTCCATCACAAATCAAAGTTTTAATGTATCAAGTCCATCACAAATCAAAGTTTTCATGTATCAAGTCCATCACAAATCAAAGTCTTAATGTATCAAGTCCATCACAAATCAAAGTTTTAATGTATCAAGTCCATCACAAATCAAAATTTTAATGTATCAAGTCCATCACAAATCAAAATTTTAATGTATCAAGTCCATCACAAATCAAAGTTTTAATGTATCAAGTCCATCACAAATCAAAGTTTTAATGTATCAAGTCCATCACAAATCAAAGTTTTAATGTATCTAGTCAATCACAAATCAAAATGTAAAATAGGATATAATGGACAGGTAATGGACATGTAATGGACAAGTAATGGACAAGTT